CAGGAAAGCATTGGGTAAATAGAGGATATCCCTTCAATTATAATGGGAAAATTAAAGTGCTACAAGAAAGTAGGTGTTTCCCTCTGAGTCAAATGCTGGGAAAATGAGAGACTCTTTAAATTGAAATCAAGATGAACTGACTTCAGTGGTTGGGGTTCAACTCTAGGAAGATAGGATGAAACAATTCTTCCTTCTGCAAAGCTGTTGGAAACATAGAGTGGGACGGAGGGTCCTATAATGCTAAGCTCTTGTTGCCATTCTGCTTTAAGCTATTGGTTTTTCCAGAGCTTTACAACCATTCTGAGTGCTAAAAGATCTCCTCAGTATCCTCAAAGAATTTAATATAGCTGGGTGTAGTGGCATGTGCCTGTACTCCTGGCACTAAGGAGGCAGGGGTTGCGGGGGGTGGGGGGGGTGGGGGGGGTGTAATGTTAGTGGCCAGCCGGCCCAACTTATAATAATGAATTCTAGGTTCTGGTCTATGGAGTGAGGAAGTCTCAAAAAACCAAAAAGGACAATGGCAGGTGGGGGATGGGGTGGTGATGGTGGTACATGCCTATAATTTTAGCACTCATAAGGCTGAGACAGGAGAAGTTTGAGTTCAGGGATACAGGATGAGATCTTGCCTCATAAAAATAAAGAAAATGGGCTGGAGAGGTGGCTCAGCCATTAAGAGCACTTGCTGTTCTTGCAGAAGACCCAAGTACTGTTTCCAGCATCCATATGATTGCTCACACCATCCATTACAACTCCAGTTCCAAGAGATCCACACCCTCTGACCTCTATAGGGACCAGGCACAAATGTGGTACACTAATACATGCAGGCAAACCACTCAAACATGCACATAAAACATAAAAGTAAGTAAATCTAAAAAGAAATAAATACAGTCAAACCATAGTCTAGAGCACTTTGGTAGGAGTGATGTGTATGGCGAGAAGAATGTTCCCTGGAAATTCTATCAAGATAAAGTTCCCTTGTCCTTGAGCAATCTCGGTCCATGCTGATGGTCCCCTCCCAGTTTACCCCCTGCCTTGGCTTCTAGAATCTTTAACTCTGTCTCACCATGGCCCCTGGATTGGGTCTCCGGGTATAGACCAAGGTCTTCCCCTTTTTCCAGCACCACCAAACCATCCCCCATCCCCAGCTCCACTTCCTCTGGGAAGCAGTGAGAGTACTGTCTGATAAGACTATCTCCTTTGGGAATACGGTTTGCATATCTCAGGGCCCACCCTTGGAATATTCAACTGCAGAATCCACCACCCCACGTGCCTCCATTCCAGCACAATGGTCGGTTTCTGGGCATTGATGTTTTGTGGCAAATGTTCTTCCCTCAGGCTGCCTTAGAAAAGATTTTCACCGGAAGAAAACAGACTGGAAAAAGCCTTATCTTTGTAGACTTTTCTATGGTGCAGGATAAACTACAGACTTGCATCCAGCAACTTCCCTATCCTTAGACTCTACAGTTCCTCAGACTAAAGACTTGTACGGGCTTGTTTTTCTTGTCACGATTCCCTAGACTATTTAGAACATCACCTATCCACACATTGTACAATGACATTGTACTTGGTATTATGAGACAGCTCTGGGTGATTTAAAGTGCACAGGAGAAGGCAGACATGGTGCTTCTTTCCTGTAATCCTAACACTTTGGGGGCAGAGGTAGGAAAATTTGGACAAACTGGAGGCCAGTCTATTCTGTCTTGCAAGTTCCAGTTCATTCAGGGCTATATAGATGAGGTCAACCCTAAAAAGCAAAACAAAAACCAAATAAACAATGGCAACAAAGTATTTCAATAAAGTATATGGGAGGTTGGCGCTGGTTGGATGCCTAGCGAATAAAGGCACACGCCAAGACTGATGACCTGAGTTCCATCCCTAGGACATGCTCAGTGCAAGGAGAGAACTATTCACGCTGTCCTCTGGCTGCCACATGCAAATTGTATGAAAATAAACAAATGCCCCTCCAAATAATATAAATACAACTTAAAACTATACAGGAGGATTGCGCACATTACATGCAAACGTGCTCTTGCCCTGGCTCAGTACGTCTGCAGCCACACTCGAGATCCTGGTAAAATGCAGTCCCACCTTAGGGCCTGGGCATGTTTGTTCCATCTTTCTGTGTTTCTGCTTCCAGAAGGCTCTATGACTCAGTTCCTCACCTTCCCTGGTCACCTCTCCCCTTTTGAGGGGAGAGAGGTTGGAGTTTTGTTGGTTTGTGTTCTTGAGCCGGCCCTGCTGTACAGTCTAAGGTAGCCCCAAACTCCCCTTCCTACACCGTGACACCAGGCAGTGAGGGCTCTCACTGCACCCCAAGGCTAGCATATAAATGATCACTTATTTTATTTCAAGTGTCTTGTTGTGTCGTATAGAATGAGGCTCCATTAGGGCAAAGATCATGTCTGCTCACTCTGCGGTCTCCAGCGCTCAGAACAAAGTCTAGCTGCCCAGCACTTAGCAGACCATAGCCATACAGGAACAAGTAAGATGAACGCTTTTCATTCCACGTCAGGACTGATGTTCACTAGAGTGGGGTGGGGGTCAGGCCATGCCACTTGTGAATCGTATCTTCCACCTGTCACTAGCTACATGACCTTGAGCAGGATACTCTCATCTCAGGACCTTAAGTTGTCGTCACTGAAGTGGGAATGACCTTGTGTGTTTGTGTGACTGAGTCATTGACACAAATGTTCTATCCAGGGCTTCAGTGAGTGCTAGATAAGCCAACCCTGGTAACATAGACCTTCTATGGTTCCAGCTCCTTCAGAGGCCAAGGTAAAGGATCACAAGGCCTGCCTGGGATAAGAGCAAGTTCAAAAGCAAACCAACCCGAGTAACTTAGTGATCTCAGAAGGGTTAGACATACAGCTCAGTTGTTACAGTGCTTGCCTAGCACAGATGAAGCCCTGGGTTCGATTCCCAACACCATGTAAGCCAGGTGTGATGGCACACATCTGCAATCCCAGCACTTGGGGAACAAGGGCAGAGGATGAGAAGTTCAAAGTCATCCTTGGCTACATAGGTAGGGTATTCTAGGCCAGCCTGGGCTACCTGCTACATGAAACAGTGAAGAAGAAAAAATTAAAAAAAGGAAAGAAAAAGTACAAGATCGGGGCTGGAGAGATGGCTCAGTGGTTAAGAGCACTGGTTGCTCTTCCAGAGTTCCCGAGTTCAATTCCCCACACGCTCACAGCTGTCTGTAACACCAGTTCCAGGGGATCTGACACCTTCACAACAATGCATATAAAATTTTTAAAAAAAGGGCGGTGGTGGGCAGATCTCTGTGAGTTCGAGGCCAGCCTGGGTTACCAATAGAGTTCCAGGAAAAGGCGCAAAGCTACACAGAGAAATCCTGTCTCGAAAAACAAAAACAAAAAAAAAAAAAAAAAACAAAAAAAAAGAAAGAAAGAAAAAGAAAAAAGAAAGAAAGAAAAGAAAAAGTACAAGATCTAGACCCAGAATGTTGGTGTACACTCATAAACCTGGAATTTTAAGGCCAATCAGAGCAACAAAGGAAAACTCTGTCTCAAAAAATTGCCTAAAATAAATAAGTGTTAGCTGTGTTGCTATGCTTATTGCTGCTGCTTTTATTCTTCTGAAGTGTCTTCATGTCCAGGGTAAACTCTTCAGCCTCTTCAGCAGGAAGAAAACACCTTCTGTCATCAGCTGCCAACCAGAAGAGTGAGCGCACCCGGGACTCACTAGACCCTGTTCACTCCCTAGCCAGGCATGGCTGCTCACATTTGTACTCCCGGTGCTTGGGAGGCTGAGACAGAGGGGTTTTTGGAGTTTGAAGTCAGCCTAGGCTACATAGTGAATTCCAGGCCAGTTTGAGCTAATGAATGAGTCCCTGTCTCAAATAAGCAAGCAAACAAACAGAATTCAGGGTTTGGTTATGATGCCAGTAATCCCAGTACTTGGAGATAGAGACTAGAAGGCCAGGCGTTAAAAGTCATCCTGAGCTACTTAAGCAAGTCTGAGGTCAGCATGGGCTACGTGACCCTGTTAAAAATGAAAATAATAATAAAATAATAATAACATAAAATAAAGAAGCTTCTCATCGTCACGATTGTGAAATGTGCCATCAGTAACTTCCTTAGAGGGACAGTAAAAAGTAGGACATGGAGACACGTATGTATTATTTCAGCACTCAGGAGGGTGAGGCAGGAGGATCACCAGCCTGAGCTGCAGGGACACCCTGTGTCAAAGATACACACAGAGGGATGCCCATGCTGCAAGGAGAAAACTGCTTTCTTTCTCTGCTGCTTTTTCCTTCTTATTCTGTTAATCACATTTATAAAATAACATTGTGTGTGTGTGTGTGTGTGTGTGTGTGTGTGTGTGTGTGTGTGTGTCCTTCCTGGGACTCGAACTCAGGTTGTCAGGCTTGGCAACAACCCCCTTAACACACTGAGCCATTTTGCCAGCCCCAGTTTTGTTGTGGTTGTTAATTTGTTTTTAACAGAGTATCCTGTAGCCCAGGCTGACTTCACACTCACCAGACAGACAAAGATGGCCTTGAACTCCTGATCCTCCTGCCCCAGCCTCCCAAGTGTTAAGATCACAGGTATGCACCAACACAGCCCAACATGGAAACTGTGTTCTAACCACCGAGCATTACAAAATCATCTCCCTGCCTTAATGAAATGTTTGCTTCTCTCAATGGGGTTTCTCAAGAACACAACACCAGAGAAACACAGAGCCAAGCTCCAGTGAATTCATCCAAAGATGTTTATTTGACTTGAAGGAGAGCCTTTAGGTCTCATGTCAATCAACATTCATGTCCACGTTTATTTACTTGGTGTGTGTGTGTGCACGCAGGTTAAGTCTATGCCGTGGCTCAGGCAGAGAAATCAGAGGACAGCTCTCAGGAGACAGTTCTCTCCTGCACCTTGTGGAATCCAGGCACTGAACGCAGGTCCTTAGGCCTTCTCAAAAGTGCTTCTGGGTCATCTCCTCAAATCTGGCTGGTCTACTTTGCCTCTTCAATTTTTTTCCCCACATGTTTCTGATCTGGGCACTAAGAGGGACACTGGAGGCCTCTAACAATGAATCAAGACCAGCAGATTCTCTTGGAGAATTTTTTTGTTTTGTTTT